CACATGTACATTACAGAAAGACACTCCCACACAAAATCATAAAACACATCACAGGGACCCCAAAACATGCAACAACCCAGGGGATCTGGGTGAACCACATATCCAAAATTCACCCAGATCCGTTCAGTACTTTGGAAAATACAGTTTAATGCAGATTCTGCAGAACATATACAGGCTAAATAAAAAACAATCACTGTATAATGTGTCCCCTGCTGTATAGTCCAAAACCACTGCACGATGTCTCTGTGCACCAAATACTGGCGAGATGGCACCGTGTTGAAAAGTCCAAACAGTGTCTGTGAGTTAAAATGGCCGCCATCCATTGTTCTCACCATGTGCTCTGATACAGGAAATGGTGGCCACTCAGTAACTCCACAGTATGTCCCCAGATGGTTCTTAAAGGGCCAGCAGCAGCACAACACAAATCCATTATGCCCAAATCATGTCTTTAAAGGGCAATAAATCCCAGGGGCCATAGTCACATGGCAGGAGGCTGGCAATCAGTCTTCTCCAATGCCCAGTGGCGAGGTCGGTTTCGCCACACGGGAGATAGGAAGCTGCCATCCCATCTAATAAACTGGAGATAGGAAGCTGCCACCCCATCTAATAACGTGGAGAAAAACCAATCAGCCCCTCTAAAAGCCTAGAACAAAAGCTTAGAAAGAAGTAGAAGACAGAAACTAACCTGTTCATCTAATCACCTAGAAAGTGCTAACATTTAGGAACCAAACCGTTGCTTGTCCCAACTGTAATTTGCTGCTGGAAAAGATTAAATGTTAGCAGATATTTGCTAAACTGAGAATTGATATAGAAATATATAAAAGGCACTTGGACAGTGATAAATTATGTCAAATCTTCTGAGCCTGTAACCACTATTTGGTGTCAACTTCAAAAACACTCTAAAAACAACAAAAATATATAAGATAATAGTGCAGCGCTTAAAATTACAAGTGATTGAAGAACATTCACTTTTCAGAAATTTGTTTTGTGAAAAAGTTGGGACATTTCTGAAAAGTGAATGTTCTTCAATCACTTGTAATTTTAAGCGCTACACTATCTTATATATATATATATATTATGAGAATTGTTAGAAACCACTGAAAATTCTTTTTTTTTTCCTGATCAGTTCCCAGTTTCGGAATTAACTCAGTGCGACTTTGTTACTCAGAGTGAGTGAAAGGCAGACAGCACACATACTGTCTATTCACCTACCTTTAGCATTAAACAGAGACCATGAAAAGGGCCCCAAACATATATTAGTAGGTCCAGTTAGAGCTCCACCAGTCCAAGCAGAGCTTGAAAGGTCAGCCCTCAGATAATACAAAGGTGAGTTGCTGTCAATATTACATCAAATATTAATATAGTTATATCTGAGCACATATTTAAAATGAGAAAAAAAGTAAGCAAATATCCATCAGCAGCAGCAAAATGGAACAGGGATTAAATGGGTCTATCTGAAACGGGACCCAGTTTTTACATCACTGTTATGAACGCTGGTATCTCAGACACTTTCTCCCTCACTGTTTGAGTGATTATAGCTCGCAGTTCGGGTGTTTACTGAGATGTTCTCCAGAAGGCAATGCAGCATTCAGTAATTTCTCCCAGTAAGCAGACATACCCAAACATCAGTCTCAACTAGATGAAGAGTACAACAGGAATGTTTTTTTCAGGCCAACTGGCCTTATATGCAGGTCCCCATGCAAGGTGCACTCCCCCTGGACCTGAGAGTAGACTACAGTAAAAACATACACACAATTACATTGGTTCTCAGGTCCAGGACACTGCCATACAAAATAGGTAAATCCCTCCCATGTCTAGGAGATAATTGAGTTTAATACAGTGCTGACTCAATTATCTCCAAGCACAAAAAACATATTTTTACAAAACCTCCAAAATACCTTTAAAAACACAAAATCACGACAAAACTTACATCCCCCGATAGCCCTGATCTGGGTGACCAACATATCCAAAAAATACCCAGATCGGTTCAGGAATTTCCTGGGAGTCCTAATTTGACCGACCGCATGCATGGTTCTATGCCCAAAAATAGTTCCACAGTTTCAGAGGTAGCGGTCAGTCTATTTCGGGAAGTCTAAAAACCGAACAAATTCACAAACTGTTCCCCTGGCTCATAGGTAGCATTTGTTCCCCTAATTAGTGGGGAAAAAACAAAAACTACCGAATAGTGCTCTCCTGGCTAGTCGGTGAAAAGAAGCAGGCGTTTGTGAAGTTGACCAGTGTTCGGGAAGTCAAGTGTCCGGTTTTAATTCCAGACACTTGCGAACCTGCTGCCGCTTTTCATGCATACAAGATGGCCACCGTATTCTCCAACACATGGAGTTCGGCTATACAAACAGCGGCCACACAGGAGAGCAGCTAATCCTGTGGTTTTCTTTGTAGATAATGAGCCAGGGGGTTTTCGGTGTTCGGTAATTTTATCTACCGAATGAGAAAAATCCAATTTAACGAACCAAACAGGGTAGTTTCTTCACAATCATCTTTTTAGAAACTATGCAATTTATTAAAAAAAACACAATCTGGAGTGACATGCTAAAAGTGGAGAAATCAGCAGGAACATTTCATTGGTTTCCATGGTGATTGGCGGTCAAGGGGTTTGGTCGGGAAGCGGTGCTGACCAGTGCAGAAACCTCTATAGGGTAGAACCCAGAATGCAAAGAAATCAATATACACACAAATCAAGGCAAAAAAAAAACAAGTGTATAAGTAAGGAAGTTAAATAAAATACAAACACAGATAACGGAGTGTAGCAGGAGGGCCTCTGGATACAGGGCAGGCAAGGCAGGGCAGGCCTCTCTGGATATAGGGCAGGCCTCTCTGGATATAAGGCAGGCAAGGCAAGGCAGGGCAGGCCTCTCTTGATACAGGGCAGGGCAGGGCCGGCCTCTCTGGATACAGGACAGGCAAGGCAGGGCAGGCCTCTCTGGATACAGGACAGGCAAGACAGGGCCGGCCTCTCTGGATATAGGGCAGGCCTCTCTGGATATAGGGCAGGCAAGGCAAGGCAGGGCAGGCCTCTCTTGATACAGGGCAGGGCCGGCCTCTCTGGATACAGGACAGGCAAGACAGGGCAGGCCTCTCTGGATACAGGACAGGCAAGACAGGGCAGGCCTCTCTGGATACATAGAATGTGACGGCAGATAAGAACCATTCAGCCCATCTAGTCTGCCCAATTTACTAAATACTTTCATTAGTCCCTGGCCTTATCTTATAATTAGGATAGCCTTATGCCTATCCCACGCATGCTTAAACTCCTTTACTGTGTTAACCTCTACCACTTCAGCTGGAAGGCTATTCCATGCATCCACTACCCTCTCAGTAAAGTAATACTTCCTGATATTATTTTTAAACCTTTGCCCCTCTAATTTAAGACCTTTTGTTGTGGTAGTTTTTCTTCTTTTAAATATAGTCTCCTCCTTTACAGGTAAGACAGGCCAGGCATCCATAGATACAGGACAGGCGAGGCAGGCCAGGCCTCTCTGATACAGGACAGGCGAGGCAGGGCAGGCCTCTCTGGATACAGGACAGGCGAGGCAGGGCAGGCCTCTCTGGATACAGGACAGGCGAGGCAGGGCAGGCCTCTCTGGATACAGGACAGGCGAGGCAGGGCAGGCCTCTCTGGATACAGGACAGGCGAGGCAGGGCAGGCCTCTCTGGATACAGGACAGGCCTCTCTGGATACAGGACAGGCAAGGCAGGGCAGGCCTCTCTGGATACAGGACAGGCGAGGCAGGGCAGGCCTCTCTGGATACAGGACAGGCGAGGCAGGGCAGGGCAGGCCTCTCTGGATACAGGACAGGCGAGGCAGGGCAGGCCTCTCTGGATACAGGACAGGCAAGGCAGGGCAGGCCTCTCTGGATACAGGACAGGCAAGGCAGGGCAGGCCTCTCTGGATACAGGACAGGCAAGGCAGGGCAGGCCTCTCTAGATAGAGAAACTGGAAAGGCAGGGCAGGCCTCTCTAGCTACAGGACAGGCAGTTCAGGAACACAGGGCTAGCTACCACAGGAACTCGGGATAAAAGGATCAGACCAACAACAAACATTAATTAACTGGCAAGCAAGAAGGGGTGCGGCTCAACTAAATAGGGAGAAACAAAGATCTCACTCTGGGTGCAGCAACCTGGAATAGAGCCACAAAGTGGTAGTGGCACTGTGAGGCACTGCGCCAGACAGAGTAAAGCGAATCGTGACATTGACTCACTTAGCACTCACATTTCTATTAAATTTGTGTTTTGGTTACTGCCAAGGCTGTAGATATTGTGAACTCTTGTTGATTGACCATCTAAACCCCCTTGTCAGGGTTAGCGGATTCTTACCATGAACTTATCTTAGACAGTCCATTCGTGACTCGGAATCTCTCAAAGAACCAAGTTACGTTTACCATATTTTCTGTCACTTGGATATTACAGAGTGAATTTCAAATGTTAGATAGAAATAACCAAGTTAGAAATATTCTCCCTGTCTATCTACTGTGGTGTAGAATTAGAAATTCACCTTGAATGGTCATTGTCGTGAATATTATTGTTACTGTTGTGCCGTTTTGATATGTAGTGAGACTATATCAACATTTGTATTTATCGAATCCAAAATGCCTACAATGTACCATTCATGTTATTAAAATGGCAGAAAAACAAACAAAACCCCTTCTGTGGAAGCTGTAATAACAGAGACGAGGATAGGCTGACTCAATACATATTCCGGAATCTTCTGTTAGATGTATCCAGCCATCATTTTGGATAGATCTAGGAAAGCATGCTGAGAGTGGGTACCTGTGTATATGCTGGCATTAGATTAAAACTTTATAAGCCATTCAGTTCCTGATGGTCTGTCACAGCAACTACTTCGGTTCAATAAGGAAAATGTCACAATGACCATCATCTCTTACTCTCTACATTCAGAAACTATTTTTAAAATCATCACATTTCTTTACAGGTATTTACACGCTGGAATTTTTTTATTTGTAGATAATGTGTTTCTACGTGATGCTCACAAGCTCAGAAATCAGCTATCAAAAAAATAAATAAAAAAAAGTCACTAGCACATTTTAAAAAAAAGTATGATAGTTTAATGTGTATGTTGCAGTAAAACAAAACAATAGCACATGAACCAATGTGGTATAATCTTAACAGCGATTACCTCGGAACTTGGACATCATTTATTACACAATGACAAGACCGGCATGATTGGGGCTTTACATAAAGCATAGCGGAATAAAAAAGGAACAATGCCTAGGGGGGGAAATGAAAGGAAAAACCACAGCTTAATGGATACATTGCTGAAAGAACAGGCTTAGGAAACTATGAAAAGCCATGGAAGGCATTAGAGTGTATCGGCAGGTACTGACAATAAAAAGTTACAAAAAAAAAGCACACACACATGTTTGCCTGATACAAAGGTGCAAACATACACAAAACTAATCCGTTAATGGCCACGTACTGCTGGAAGGCTTACGTTTGGCCTCCATTTTGGGGAATATCATGTAACTGCTTTTTACAAGCCTTTTCACATTCTAGCTGCCCAAATACATGCAGTCTGTATTCAAGAATAACAGTATTGAGGGTCCATAAAAATGCCAGCAAGGGCCCCTGTAGTAGAGCGTCCATGGGTATGAACTCCAACACCTGCTGGGTGACTCCGGAGCCCCTTAACTCCTCTGTCCTTTCCATTAATTGGCACAAATAATCCACAGTAGGGGCTGGGGAAGCATTGAACCCAGAGCAAATCAGTAAGGCATCTGTTCCCAGAGCGAGGCTGCTAGTTGGACAGGTGAATGTAATCAACTCAAAGCAGTGATACAGGATGTAGACTATACTGGCCGTAAAACGAGTGAAGGAAGAGAGGATAGGAAGAACCAAGGAGCCGCCATCTCGCGTCTGTTGCAAGCCCTGCAATATCCAAGTAAGAAGCACCTTCTGATAGGCAGGATCTCCATCATGGAGGACAGATAAACTCCTGAAATCGAGAGGGGAGTCAATAAAATCACAGGGTATGTTTTGGGCATTGAGAAACTGAAAGAGAGAATGAGCTCCACAGACTATGAAGTGTTCTCTGCTCTTAGACATCCTTAGTAACTCCAAACAAACAGCCTCCTCTGTCACAAAGCTGCACATTGGACAGCTTGGGAACACTTCGGGACCCATTGAGATGATCGAAAAGCATTCATCAATGGTTTCATTTAAACATTTTAACAGTCTACTATCACAGAAAGGTGAGCTGTGGATCCTAGCAAGTTGTTTCCCCTCCACAATGAACCATTCATTGGTTTTTAACTCATCGTATGGTAACTGCAGAAAGCAATCAGCTCCAAGGTTCTTCTGAACATGCTCTTTTAACCAAGGACTAAAGAAGCCATTGGCCACTTTCTCTGCCCAGCTCAGCATTTCCAGCTGCTTCCTTTCATTAAAAGACTCTGAACGACAGGCCCGGACTCCCACCCATCGACTGTTCACACTGCACCCAAACTGTGGATTCTTCACAAGCCACTGCTTCCGGGGAATGCGTTTAACATGGAAATTACTGATATAGTATGTAACTGCATAATCCCGCAATTCATTCAGACGGAATTTTTCTTGCTCCCCCATACATGAAAACAGATGGAGATTTTCCATAATAGTCTCTGTCTGATGCTTGTAGAACACATCACAGCATTCCTCGTGGCACCTGAGGAAGGAAGCTGGGATGGATTTTTGAGGGAATAGAGACTTGTTCGCAATCTGCTTTCCAAAATTCTCAGTCATTTTAGATAGAAGACCCTCAAGTGCATCTTTGCCCAAGTAACCTAGGCATACGATATAGACCTCGGAGTTTCCGGCTTTGCTTGTTCCTGGCTTGATAACGTGTACTTGATCGAAGCAACAGTTCAGGAGGTACATGAGGTTGACAGAGGAATGCTCAAACAGGGTGAACATTTTCAAGACAAAAGATCCTCCCTGGCCAAGCAGCATCAGGCAGGTGACAACTTCGCAGTAATGAAGAGGAGACACGAGAGACTCCTGCTCCCCAGGATTTCCTTGACAATCAAAACTTCCATCTGCGGTAACTAGATGGACAGTAGACATATTGCTGGTGAAATGCTGTAACTCAAACAGGTGTTTCAGACTCATGATGTCCCCGGTATTGTCAGGACCAAAAAACCACCAAGGCAACGTGTTGGCAATCAAGCGATCATCGGCAATCATAACTAGCCCATCGTTGGCTTCATGGTAAGGGTTAAGAGTATTGGCTACCCAGTTCCAATCACAATGCCTATCTTGGGATTTTAGGAAATGGTTGAGGCTGGATACAAAGGCTCCTGGGGCTTCACAAATATGAATGGTGTTTAACTCCTTGTTCCATAGAGATTCAAGAGGTAGAAGAGGATATGAACACACAATCTCATGGAATTTACACCAAGCCTGTGTGCAGAGCTCAGCATTAGCAAATTTTCTCACCTCTGACACTATCTTGCCTGCCCTGTTTGTGAACGATGTGTGTCGATGCCAGTCATCCAACTTTTTGTCGCTGAGAAGGTTCTTGACTTTGTTCAGGGAGCTTTTGAAGACTTGAAGCGTACTAAACTCCTCATGTTCACATATGAAGGCCTCGGAGAGATCAGGAAGAACCCAGTCTGTATCCTTCACATACTGGAATCGTTTATTGAACAGGGCCTGGATCTCTGTTGCAATATCACATTTCAACATAATGGGAGCTTAGTATGCCTTTATTTCATGCCTTGGGGTTTTTCAAAAGAAGGCACAGTGTGCTGCAAAATAAATCATGTATTTGTTGCAAATTAAAAACTGTGGGGGGAACATATTTCAAAACCATTACATAGCCCTTTCAAACATAAAATTGTGTGAAATACATAAATCTTTACTAAATGACCCAGAATCATGGCAGCCCTTCTTCCTTCCCTGCAATCTCCTCCCTTTCTCAGTCTCGTCATCCACTACCATAATCTTTGCTACACAAGTCATTGCTATAAAATCCTCATCTTGCACATACACACTCTGCACCTCCCTAGCACTGTGACCCATACACACTCTGTACCCCCCCTAGCACTGTGACCCATACACACTCTGTACCCCCCATAGCACTGTGACCCATACACACTCTGTACCCCCCCATAGCACTGTGACCCATACACACTCTGTACCCCCCCATAGCACTGTGACCCATACACACTCTGTACCCCCCCATAGCACTGCATCCCAAACCTGCTACCTGTCCATACATCCCCACCACCTACACAGCCTGTACCCCCCAGCACTGTGACCCATACACACTGTACCCCCAGCACTGTGACCCATACACACTGTACCCCCCCAGCACTGTGACCCATACACACTGTGGCCCCCAGCACTGTGACCCATACACACTGTGTACCTCAGCACTGTGGTTCACATACACACTGTACCCCTCAGCACTGTGACCCATACACACTAAAATTCCCTCACACTGTGACCCATACACACTCTGCTAGCCACCCCCAGCACTGTGACCCATACACACTCTGTAAATTTCCAGCACTGTGACCCATACACACTTGCACCCCCCAGCACTGTAGACCTATATACACACTCTGTAAATTTCAGCACTGTGACCCATACACACTCTGTACCCCCCAGCACTGTGATCATACACTCTGTACTCCCCCTATAGCACTAGACCATACACACTTAAAATTCTGTACCCCATACACACTCCCTGTACCCCCAGCAGACCCATACACACTCTGTACCCCCAGCACTGTGACCCATACACACTCTTGTACCCCCCAGCACTGTGACCCATACACACTCTGTAACCCCTTCCATAGCACTGTGACCCATACACACTCTGTACCCCCCACCAGGACTCATACACACCTGTACCCCCCTCAGCACTGTGACCCATACAAGACTCTGTAAATTCCCCCATAGCACTGTGACCCATACACACCTGTACCCCCCACTGTAGACCTATTGATTAATTCTTGTACTCAGCACTGTGACCCATACACACTGTACCCCCCAGCACTGTGACCCATACACACTGTACCCCCCCAGCACTGTGACCCATACACACTCTGTACCCCCCCAGCACTGTGACCCATACACACTCTGTACCCCCAAGCACTGTGACCCCTGAGATCTAGGTCACCATGTAGCCACTTGCCCCAGGAAGCCCATAGTGTACCTGCCGCCGAGAACCCGGAAGTAAGCCATCCGACGTCACATGCGTGTGCTCCTCTAATCACGTGACTAGGGGGCGTGTCTGTGCGTCTGTTACCAGGGCTCCTGTTTCCATGGTGATGGCGGTTTAGTTCTTTGCTGAATGTGGCACAAGCAAGGCACACTATGCAAATTAGTACAACCCAGCTCTATAATACCGGAAATACAGACACCCAACCCTTATACAGAGTATCCCAGCCCTTATACAGAGTATCCCAGCTCCTTATACAGAGTATCCCAGCCCCTTATACAGAGTATCCCAGCTCCTTATACAGAGTATCCCAGCCCCTTATACAGAGTATCCCAGCCCTTATACAGAGTATCCCAGCCCCCTATACAGAGTATCCCAGCTCATTATACAGAGTGTCCCAGCTCCTTATACAGAGTGTCCCAGCCCCTTATACAGAGTGTCCCAGCTCCTTATACAGAGTATCCACTTTACACAGAGTATCCCAGCCCCCAGGCATATCCTGCAGCCCTTATACAGAGTATCCCAGCCCCTTATACAGAGTATCCCAGCCCCTTATACAGAGTATCCCAGCTCCTTATACAGAGTATCCCACCCCTTATACAGAGTATCCCAGCCCCCTGTACAGAGTATCCCAACCCTTATACAGAGTATCCCAACCCCTTATACAGAGTATCCCAGCCCCTTATACAGAGTATCCCAGCCCCCTATACAGAGTATCCCAGCCCCTTATACAGAGTATCCCAGCCCCTTATACAGAGTATCCCAGCTCCTTATACAGAGTGTCCCAGCTCCTTATACAGAGTGTCCCAGCCCCTTATACAGAGTGTCCCAGCCCCTTATACAGAGTATCCCAGCTCCTTATACAGAGTATCCCAGCCCCTTATACAGAGTGTCCCAGCCCCTTATACAGAGTATCCCAGCTCTTATACAGAGTATCCCAGCTCCTTATACAGAGTATCCCAGCTCATTATACAGAGTATCCCAGCCCTTATACGGAGTATCCCACCCCTTATACAGAGTATCCCAGCCCTTATACAGAGTATCCCAACCCCTTATACAGAGTATCCCAGCTCATTATACAGAGTATCCCGCTCCTTATACAGAGTATCCCAGCCCCTTATACAGAGTATCCCAACCCCTTATACAGAGTATCCCAACCCCTTATACAGAGTATCCCAGCCTTTATACAGAGTATCCCAGCTCCTTATACAGAGTATCCCAGCCCCCTATACAGAGTATCCCAGCTCATTATACAGAGTATCCCAGCCCCCTATACAGAGTATCCCAGCTCATTATACAGAGTGTCCCAGCTCCTTATACAGAGTGTCCCAGCCCCTTATACAGAGTGTCCCAGCTCCTTATACAGAGTATCCCAGCTCATTATACAGAGTGTCCCAGCTCCTTATACAGAGTATCCCAGCTCTATAATACAGGAAATACAGACACCCACCCCTTATACAGAGTATCCCAGCTCCTTATACAGAGTATCCCAGCTCCTTATACAGAGTATCCCAGCCCCTTATACAGAGTATCCCAGCTCCTTATACAGAGTATCCCAGCCCCTTATACAGAGTATCCCAGCCCCTTATACAGAGTATCCCAGCTCCTTATACAGAGTATCCCACCCCTTATACAGAGTATCCCAGCCCCCTGTACAGAGTATCCCAACCCTTATACAGAGTATCCCAACCCCTTATACAGAGTATCCCAGCCCCTTATACAGAGTATCCCAGCCCCCTATACAGAGTATCCCAGCCCCTTATACAGAGTATCCCAGCTCCTTATACAGAGTATCCCAGCTCCTTATACAGAGTGTCCCAGCCCCTTATACAGAGTGTCCCAGCTCCTTATACAGAGTATCCCAGCCCTTATACAGAGTATCCCAGCCCCTTATACAGAGTGTCCCAGCCCCTTATACAGAGTATCCCAGCTCTTATACAGAGTATCCCAGCTCCTTATACAGAGTATCCCAGCTCATTATACAGAGTATCCCAGCCCTTATACGGAGTATCCCACCCCTTATACAGAGTATCCCAGCCCTTATACAGAGTATCCCAACCCCTTATACAGAGTATCCCAGCTCAGAGTATCCCATTATACAGAGTATCCCAGCCCCCTTATACAGAGTATCCCAGCCCCTTATACAGAGTATCCCAGCTCCTTATACAGAGTATCCCAGCCCCTTATACAGAGTATCCCAGCCCCTTATACAGAGTATCCCAGCTCCTTATACAGAGTATCCCAGCCCCTTATACAGAGTATCCCAGCCCTTATACAGAGTATCCCAGCCCCCTATACAGAGTATCCCAGCTCATTATACAGAGTGTCCCAGCTCCTTATACAGAGTGTCCCAGCCCCTTATACAGAGTGTCCCAGCTCCTTATACAGAGTATCCCAGCTCATTATACAGAGTATCCCAGCTCATTATACAGAGTGTCCCAGCTCCTTATACAGAGTATCCCAGCTCTATAATACAGGAAATACAGACACCCACCCCTTATACAGAGTATCCCAGCTCCTTATACAGAGTATCCCAGCCCCTATACAGAGTATCCCACCCCTTATACAGAGTATCACAGCTCATTATACAGAGTATCCCAGCCCCTTATACAGAGTATCCCAGCTCATTATACAGAGTATCCCAGCCCCTATACAGAGTATCCCAGCCCCCTATACAGAGTATCCCAGCCCCTTATACAGAGTATCCCAGCCCCTTATACAGAGTATCCCAGCTCATTATACAGAGTATCCCAGCCCCTTATACAGAGTATCCCACCTTCTTATACAGAGTATCCCAACCCTTATACAGAGTATCCCACCTTCTTATACAGAGTATCCCACCTCCTTATACAGAGTATCCCACCTTCTTATACAGAGTATCCCACCTCCTTATACAGAGTATCCCAGCCCCTATACAGAGTATCCCAGCTCCTTATACAGAGTATCCCAGCCCCCTGTACAGAGTATCCCAGCCCCTTATACAGAGTATCCCAGCCCCTTATACAGAGTATCCCAGCTCCTTATACAGAGTATCCCAGCCCCTTATACAGAGTATCCCACCCCTTATACAGAGTATCCCAGCTAAGTATATTTAAACCTAATTCGGTAGTTTCCTCCCGAACCGCCAGAGCCTTAGTGATTATAGCCTTCCATTCGGTAGATAGGGTAGACGAATCCTATAGCAATCCCAATAGCTTCACCAGATAATTCCCTCAGTGAAACACACGAATCCCCAAACATCAGCCGAAGTCAAGAAGAAGGGAACAAAATGAACTGTCCTTTAATGTGCTCACAGCTTTTATGCTAGTCCTCATGCAAGGGGACAGCCCTCAGGGAGGGACAAACAATAGCCAATCACAGGCAGCAAAACTTTAACACACACCTACAATTCCCTCCCCTAGCCCAGGAGATAATTCGGTCTGATAAAATAGTAACTTAATTATCTCCGGGCTGAAAATCACCTTTTTCCCCAACATCCAGAACACCCCTTTATACTGGGGGTATCCCCATAAATTATATGTCCCCTGATAGCCCTGATCTGGGTGACCAACATATTCGAATTTCACCCAGATCGGTTCAGGGGTTCGCAAAATCTATGGAAGTCTCTTGTGACCGGCTCACCCTGGGCTGCATGTCCAAAACAGTTCCATGAATTTGGTGGGTTTTGCCGGTCACTTTTGAAAAAGCATAAAAACTAATAAAAATACCGAATGGATCCCTCTGGCTCCTAGCAGCGTTCGTGCCCCTCTGTCGAATGCACCAAAGTACCTGTGGCGAAAGCCGCCTCGCCACTGGACATTGGAGAGGCCTGGCTGCCCGCCTCCTACCTGCTGACTATGGCCCCTGGTGAATTTGTACTTTTGAATGTAATATTTGGGCATGTGGTATTTTATCTTGATGCTACTGGCCCTTTAAGGGCCATCCGTGGACATATTATGACTGTTAGGAACAATGCCATTTAAGACTGTGTAGCAAATTGCATTCAGGCTGTATTTAATATGTGTTCGGTAAACGGTGTTAGGTGTATGCAGCATTCGTCTGATTGTTCGGTAGAATCACTCCATTCATTATATTGAGTGAAACTACCGAACAACCAGACCAGCCTGGAGTAAGTGTGCCTCCAATTACCGTTTGCAACAATGTTGCAAACGGGTAATTGGCAATTGATGTAATGTGTGGTTTTGTCCTCTGGGTGGCCGCCATTCAGGAAACGAACACGTGGCGGCGGCCATCTTAAACTCCCGAACAGCGGTGTTTTGCCGTCGAGTGTCTGGAACTAAAATCGGACACTCGACCAGGCAAACACCGCTGAGACCTCCAGACTTCCATGAATTAGTGTGGAAACTACGGAATGACCCGCCGTTCGGTAGAAAGAACCCCACGAACAAGGGAATTTGTTTAAACCCTGGCTCTATAACCCAGGCAATTCGTGTGTTTTCATTCCCTTTTCTGTGACCGACTGCAGGGCCAAAATACATGGGGGCAGTGGATGAGCCTGCGATACCCACTGACCCCCTCCCAGCAGAAGAGCTGGCATCTGGGCAGAGCTCTGTTAGCCTCTGCCCCCCCTTTTCCCCTGTATCAGAGCCTGACTTACCACGGGTTACCCCAGTGGAAGAGCTGGCAGCAGGGCAGAGCCTCTGCCCCCCAAGCAACACCAGCAGTTTGCCTAGCTGCACCAGAGAGACCGAGAGTGCTGCGCTGTCCCACTACAAACTTGAACCTACAGGCCAGTACCATTTATTGTGGGGGGGTTACTCTGCGTATTTTTATTTGTGGGTGGGCTGCCCGACTAATCTAGGTACTGACCGGCAGAAAGTCAGGTACCTGTTTAGTCTTCCCCCCAAAGGAAAGATGTGTGACGAAGTGCCCTTCGCCACTTATGCCTGGAGTGGACTGCTTGCCCGCCTCTTGCCCTGTGACTATGGACCCTGGGAGATTTGGCCCATTCAATTCAGGATGATAGGAGTTATGTATTTTTGTATCCTTTTGTGTTTTACTGGGAACATGTGCTCAATGGAGTCTGCTTCTATCCCTGGATAATTGGATTACTTTC